ATTGGTCCAAAGCACCAAACTTCTTTTCAAGTTTGTATACCTTTTGCAACAACTCTGGTTGGTTAATCCATCAAAACCACAGTTTGCAATAAATGTTACATCAGTGATTTGGAGGAAATGATTGAAAATTGGTTCGCTTAAATCCATAATTCTTGCAGTTTTTCCTGTGAGTTTCCATTTCAATTTGTCACATCCTGGGTATATATTGCAATTATGTGTTTACTTATAGTTGTGATACTAATTATTATATTGCTTTTACTTAATCAATTTTCAATTAGAAACGCTAGCACTTCATAGAAGTCGCATTTTTTAAAGAAATTTGTTGCCTCGTCTCACCAGAAGCGTGTGATGAATTTGAATTTTCATGTTAAACAATTTTTCGTCCTAATTCTGGTCCAGCTCTTTCAGATCTCAGTTGAGGACGCCCACGTTTATTGGTCAACTCTACTTAAGACTGACTCTACTTAAGACTTCGCAGATAGACATGAATCGGGACAAGGTCCCATTGCATTTAAAAAATAGAGACACAATTAGAAAATTAGAAATCTTTTTAAATTTCTCTTTCTACAAGTAGTCCAGTATTCCGTCCATATTTTCTCAGTTGTAGTGGATGAACCCGATAAACAATGTAACATTTTGCCAAGTAAAGATAAAAAACGAAAATGCGCCATTTTCAGTAAAGTAAGTAGCTGATCATACTCCTGAATTTTAAACGCTCCCAAAACTCAGGGTTTCCACTACACATCTGTTTTGATACCCTGTACCTGTAGGGTAAAAACCCTAATTATGCAAAGTATGTAACAGACAGAAGGAGGCTTCTCCGACCCCATAAAGTGTATATATTCTCAATCAGCATGACGAGACGAATCGATTTCGTTCGTCTGTCTGGAAACAGCTTGGCACTTATTGACCAAACTTGGTACGTACATTATCATACTCCCTAGGCAACACGAGATTATTTTATTTTTTATTTCTGGTTAATTCTGTCTACATTTTCCAAGCTTCATAAACCAACCTCACGTAATAAAAATATAATTTTCTACTCTTCTTTTAAATTTCGTACAAATCGGCGGATTCAAACAAACGAGCGTGTTCGCCACTTTCCTTCTTGTTTAGGTGTAGGGTATTTTACTGTCGGGCGTGCTCGATTGTAGCATTCTCTCTTGTTTGAATTGCATTTAGCTAATATCTTTACTTCAACAAAAATTCAAAAAAAGCCCGAAAATTTTTTGTACCTTTTAATTTTGTAGTCATAAATAAATATTAGTAATATTTTGTTCATTGTTCTATGTGGCCAAGCCTTAGTAAATACTTGTTCTTGGAATTGCGCACACATTGAGCGGTCCAAATTGTAAATAGCTTCTCGGTGTATATATAAAAAAAGAAGAGACTTGTTGGTCGATTGACTGTCGGTGCAAAAGCAGATTTTCCCAGCCTGCGGATGGCACTTCGTGCTGATAGTACTATGTAGTCCGTTCGTTTTTTCACATCGCCATTCGCAAATAAAAATGTTGGCCACAAGGTTTGTTGCAAAAGGTATACAAAATAAATGAAGGTGCTTTAGAGAAGCAAACAGTTATTTGTTGAGTTAACGACATAGAGGGTGGATTCGTTTTCGAAATTTTCTCGTACATGTATCTAGCAAAACGTTTAAACGAGGTGAATGACTAGATTCGAGATGCCAAAATATATGTATGAAACAATACACATTTTCTGTCACGATGTCACGATTTATACAACTATATCAATTTATATTAAATTTTATTATATGCTGTTTTAATTAATTAAAAGTAGTAATATTTTAAGATAAGATAAGGAATGGGGACCAGGGCAAATACAAGTATATCTAAACTAATTTTAAATTTATTTTAGGCGTCTGCCCAGTAGGCGAAACAATGAAGAAAATCTGGTCTCGAAACTAATTAATATTCAATCCGCAACCCGCAGCGCACATGCAGGCCCTGGACTCTGCTTTGGTCTTCACGTGGGTGGGCTTCACACCCCCTCCACAGCCCTGCTTTGTAATTCTACTATACAGTCACTCACTGAGTGCTCTGCCCATATACACGTATGCACATACATACATACTTGTATATGTATGTATATACTTCGATGGGCGACATTTTATTATTTTCGCTACCGTTTGCCGATGTTTTTTACGGCGTGGCATGGCGTGGCGTGGCGTTGCGCTGCTTTCGTCCGTCCCTTCGCCCGGGTATGCCCGCATCTCTATTTCACGTTTGTCTTGCGCCCCCTCCCCTTTTATCGTTTTATTTACAAAGAGCCGCATACTTTACGCTGATTGCGCGCTCGGCAAACATTTTCTGTTGCTGTTGCTGTTGCTGTTTCTGCTTCTGCTTCTGCTCCCTACTTCTGCCTTTGGTTCCTGCCTATCGACCACATTGAACGTGGGCTGGGCTCAGGTCCTGTCTGTTTGCTGTGGGTGGCTTTTGTTTTCAGCACACACGTAGCGCTTGTGTCGATGCTGCTTGGCTAGGGGCATTGATATTATTGAGTTTATTGGTACTTCCTTTCTGAATTACGCTTGTTAGTCAGATAGAGATAAATTTGTTCCCTGCATGCGGCCTTAGATGCGGCTGCGAAACCTTAGTTACAGAGTTCATTAAGTGCTTTTTGTACGCTTTAAAATATGCTTGTTGTACATATGTATGTATCATTAGAAATTTTTTAAATATTTAAATAAGGACCTATTGTCATATTACTCGTTTAGTTAGTTATTTCGCCTGAATAAGTCGCGTGAATTAGCGGAAATCGGAGCACTTAACCACTTTGTTGCGGTCTTGCCTTTTTTTCTTTTAAATTTGAAAAAGTTTTTCAATATCGATACAATTTTATTATGTTTGTCGTTATGTTTTTCAAAATACTGTTATTAATAACACAAATTTTTATAAATATACTAGATACTCCCTATTAACGACATCATTTTATTCTAAGCGCGTAATTACACATTCGAGTATTTAATTTAATCGCTCCACTCTAGATTTGCACATTTTTAAGGAAGTTTTGGCAAGTAAGGGAGATAGGCTGGATTTGGTAACATCAATAACAGTACTTTTTATACGACTCCTGTTTTGTTTAGCTGTAATCATAATCAATACAAGAGGCTCTTGACCAAGAAACTTAGTGGCGTAAGACACAATTGCTGTTATCCATTTTTGCCAAATGATCTAAGTCCATTATGTTCTATAAGAAGAAGATGAATTATTATAGATGTATACAATTTTCGTTTTAATCAATTATAATATAATTTTGCACATACACCTATTAAATTAATAGTTCTGTACCATCTGTACTATCATATTCAATGCAATGCATCGGCTGGCCTTCTGAAAGTTACATACATATGTACAAACATATATTCGGAGCAATTCCACTACAATACCACTATAATGCCTAGACATCCTCAATACATCGATATTTTCTAAAATTACCTTTTCGTAGAAAGAAACTCAACTATTTGACAATTTAAAACCTACACCTAAATCTGTTTTTAAACGATAGATTGGTTCCAGACAAAACCGTGTAAAAAAAATAGATTGATCGTATGCAAAAATACATAGGTGATTGGTTCCTTATCGCTAAAACCTATTAAAATTAGTGAAAAAACAAGACATTTTTTAAGAACAAGTATTCATGGTTATTTTATTAAATCACAAATGTAATGTATACTTACACAAGCATAGTTATAAAAAAGCAGTCTAAGCTTAAAAGTATGTAATGTAAATTAAATGTATGACAAATTCAGGAACTAAAAACAATTATGTAGGCATGTAAAACAGCTATGTTGTTCACAAAAATAATAGGTTATTCAGTTTTTGATGTTTGAAAACAATTAAATGATAATCAAAAATACAGGAACACAAATTTAATTGCTGTCATCATCAGTTACTCGAATTTGCTCGAAATAATTTTGAACTGAACTTTCTCTTGGTCTTTCGGCATCTACATTATCAACAGTTAACTCTGTTATGAGCCGTTGTTGGCCAATTGTTGCTACCTCTTTGTAACGACCCATATAAGAAGGGTTTCTAGCTGTTTGTGAGCTGTGTGTGTTTTTATTTGTTTGTTTTGTGTTATTTATCGTGCTAAATGAAATAAAATCGTGTAACAACTCAGATCATGTAAGAATTAAAAGTCGAACAGACTTCAAATTTGAACGCCTACATCCAAAATTATATTTTAATCTAACATCGAGGTCGCATTAAAGTAACTTAAATTGTTAATCATTATTAATGGATCAATTATTCATAAAATAATGATTTAATAAATTATACGTTTATTAAATTTTAATATCAACCCAACAATAAAATATTTAAATAAATAATAAAATTAATCTTAAAAATTAAAATTTTTAAAATATAAAGATTCATGGGGTCTTTTCGTCTTTTAAATAAATTTTAGCTTTTTGACTAAAAAATAATATTCTATAAAGAAAATTTATGAAACAGTTAATATTTCAACTTAATAAAATCACGAATATTTAAAAGATCAAAATTACCCATGCCGATGTTTGCAAACTAATCGTGAAAAAAGTAAAATTGAGTCGTGAGTTATTATTTTGAGAAAAATAAGGCAATACAACTATAGTTAGATTGACTATTTATCAGGGTTCTATTTTTCAACCTGTTGAAATAAATTAATGTGATTTTGAATGTGGCATGAACAGACTTAATTGTTCCAAAATCAAGTCCGTTTTCAACTTAGACATACTTGTATGTACATATTTCCATTAATGTCTTTATTTTGAACGAAGATTTGAATTTTTAAAAAGCACCAGTCTAAAATCATTCTAGGAGTTTTGCTGCCCGCCCAGACATGTTAAGATAGAAGAAGTCGTTGTAGAATCAGCACAAATAATGTTTCTATAAGTAAACGATGGCAAGAATGAGGCTGCGTCTTAGCTTCAATTATGCAAACATAACCCACTTGAGTTCTACCCTTTTCTGCCATTCTTCCAATTACATAAAATCTTATGACCATTTTAGTTGGCAAGCGAAGCCTATTACTCGTACTTTTTTATTGTCCCTTAATTTGACGGTTTGAATGGCTTTGAAGTCGATGTATATATATAATTTGGCACAGCCGAAAAATAAAAATCTGGAAACTTGAAGGAACTCAAAGAATTCGATCAGCTTTCAAAGTAGAGTTCGGGAAAAGAGCCATTCAGTTAGCAGATTGTGGTTTCTGTGTCTCCTGTTGCTGTCGCAACTTCTCTGACGGATTCGTAGCCTCGAACGCATTTATCCAAAGTAGAGTGGCGAGTGCCGTCATTATGGTGCCCATTATGGCCCACTCCCACTCCTGATAGAACTGCGGCGTCATGCCATAGCGCTTCAGCAGATGCTGCAGCCCCAAATGGCAAAGATGCTCAACGTTGCACCAAAGCCAAAGCGCAAAAACCTCCATGACAGCGATTCCAAGCACCAGTTCTATAAGAAAATAGGCGAGCCAGCTCATGCGTCGCTGATACCGAGTTGGCATCAGTTCCATATCGTACAGAAAGTGCAGCAGCGCACAGTAGGCGATGTGTCCGGCGTAGGCGGTGCCCGGAATATGAGTAAATCGCTCTATATTCAGGAAACACGAACTGCGTAGCCCAAAGTGCACGAAACTTGCAATCAACACCACTATAGGAGAGGCCATGACTGCTGCGATATCGGTTAGCATTAATAAGGAAGAAAGGTATCTGGAGTACAATAATTGCACTCACCAGTACTATATATGTATGTACTATATAAGTATGATGCTATAGCTCAAGAAAAATTGAACGTTTTAATTTTGTGAGACGTCGATTCCTCGTATAGCCTGCAATACTTTTGAAGACCGAAAAGTTAAATAAAATAAAATTATACAAATTATTTTGCTAAGGCCAAAAGTTGTTGTCGTTTGGGATTTTTCTATTGAAGTGAAATTTATGTTTTATGACAGCCACGAAACATTTCGCCGGTCTATATTCAAAACTTTTCCCATGGCTTACTGTGCGAACACAAAAGGCGTCCGAATAAATTAAAAAGTAAAGGCATACATTAGCTCCGGATCGGTGCGCGGTAAAGTATGTATATATGTATATACATATTTTTGCAAATGTAAATTCTTATAAAAGCATATAAGCATATCGCTCATTTACATTTGCATTCCCACAAACTTCCCCGTTCCCGCACTTGGAACGTAAGCAAGGGCGTAGGCAGGGGGGGAGGAGGAGGAGGGCAGTTGCCCCCCCTAGAAAAAATGTTGCCATATAAAGTCGACCACACGTTCATTATTACATTTCGCCTTAAAATGGATCTGAGTTGGATTTGTTGAAGTTTTTTTCATTGATCATATGCATAAGTTATTTTTTAAATGCATCGTGCATTATTTAATCAAAATTCTAATTTTTTGGCTTGTCGGCTTGTCACCCTGACCAAGAATATACATATATACTTTGTGGGGTCTGCCACGCCTCCTTCTGTATGTTACATACATGCGCACAAAACTAGTACAGCCTTTCACCCTTTGGGTACAGGCTATAAAAAGGAAAGATGTTCAGGGCGCTCTGTTAGTTTCCAATAACCATCAGTGAGTGGTCAAGTCGAAAGCTGCGCACTCTTGGATTTAGCTCTTGCCTTTCCCCACTGCATTGGCAATGACAAGATACCACTGCATCAGCATTGCGGTGCATTGTGATTGCAGAACGTGTCTTGGTTACATATTTGCCATAAACCGCATGTTCTTCCAGTCCAGTCTATTGAACATTCACTTTGCTCTTTTTCCTAATTGCAAGCATTTTTCACACTTTTTAAAATGACTTTTTTAATTGAGACAACCAGTGTTGACCATACTACCTACGAGTATGTGCCAAACCGCAGAAAGGCACAGGCGACAAATTTAGTTCCTTCGGTTAGGAGGAGTAGGAGTATAGTGGAGGAAATATTCTAGTAAAGCGCGTACTAAAGAACTGATTTGGATTTTTGTTCCAACGGCTAATGAACCTTAGGCTTAGCCTTGTATTTATATTTATAGCTAACAGAAAACTGCTAATCTTGCAAAAAAACAAAAAAAAAAAAAACAATATAAATATAAATAATAATTATAATAACGTTAGGACATTTTAAGTCCCTTCTGATAGTCAAGAAAGGGGAATCTTTAAAAAAATTAAATGCATATGGTACGTGTCTTGTTTTCCTAATTTCATGATTTGGTTAGCTTAAATACATTTGCTTAAATATATTTGTACAGGAACAGGAATTATCCTAGTGTTTTTTCCCGTTTGCGCCAATAACACGCAAATTGAATCGTTATCTGGGTATCACCATTAACAAGATTTTGTCCTGGAGTGATTGCGTATTCAGGGCTGCGGAAAAAATTATGGCTTATTGAGACAACTTTCGCTAACTAAGCAATTTTTGCCCATAGGTATCAGATTATTAATCGCTAAAACTAATCTGACACGCTTTGTTATGGTATCGAAATATTTGGTAACTGTGATAGTGCTTCTAAATGTAGCATAGAATAATATAGAGTCTACATTATAGACAGATACTTATGTATTCAATGTTAAAAGGGGGGATCACATGTCTAGTTTGGCTGACACCATTTCCCATATGAAGTTTGGAACATGGGTAAATTTCTGATATCTAATTATGTTGCATAAAATTATATATACTTGCACAATGGAATCTTTGTTTATGGAATCTTTCTTTATTCATGCTATTTGCCTGTGGAATCATCTACCTTTACATTACGCAATTTACGCAATTAGGGAAAAATTAAATTTGTACTTAAAAAATAAGTAACTGATAAATATAGAATGTTCGAAGCATATTATAATCCATTTAATTAAATTCTAAGTACTATAGCTTGGTAAAATTGTTTTACATTTTTTTAAAAGAAAATTGTATTTTTGTGTGACTAGTGCTTAGTTTATAAGAATTTTCTAGGGAAATTCTAGCAATTAATAATAAATAAGACCATCCTATAAGGAGCTAAAACTGCTGGGTCACAAATACTTGAGAGCGATTCAAACGGAACACTACTTAGTCTTTAAGTAAGCTGTTTCACGATGCACAGAAAAGATAAATTTAGAAATTCAGCAGACAGCCTTGAAATAAATACATGCTTCCGAAAGGCTGTTGGTGTGCGAGAAGGTGGATAATGCCCGAGGCTACAGAATGGCGTTCGTACTACGAGCACGAGACTCAGGATAATCAGATGAAGGGAGGAGCGGTGCTGTTCAATGTTCGCAGGTGGGATAACCATCAGGGCCGTTCACACTTCAATCGAGGGTGGTAACGGGAAAGATTCAAACAGAGTACCTGAAGAGGCTGACAAAGACAGCATTGGTTAGCAGCTTAAGTTCAAAGCAGTTGGCGCAAGGATGGAATGGGCCTTGCCTAACATGACGGCGCTGTTGCTGGCATATTTCAAAATTAAGTCTCTAACCAGCGCATAGGTGAAGACACAATTATTTCACAATTATTTATCACGCTGTTAATTATACATACATACATGCACTGTACGTGCATACGGGCCAAGACCACCTGAAATTGCTGACGTTTTTATACCCTGTACCCAAAGGGTACAAGGGTATATTAGTTTTGTGCGAGTGCACATGGAACACACAGAAGGAGGCTTGGTAGACCCCACAAAGTATATATATTCTTGATCAGCATGACAAGCCGAGTCGATATAGCCATGTCCGTCTGTCCGTCTGTCCGTCTGTCCGTCTGTCTGTCTGTCTGTCTGTCTGTATGAACGCATGGATCTCCGAAAGTATAAGAGCTAGAATAACCAAACTTGGTATACAGATTCTCCTGAGACCGAGAAAGGACGAGTTTGTTCATTTTTTCTGATCCACCCCCCCACTCCCCCCCTATTAACGATTTTCTATAACTCCCGTAATTCTTGGAATTTTGAACTGAAATTTGGTAGACACATCCAGTTAGTAATTGTATATCCGTATACCAAGTTTCATTATGATAGAATGATTGGAAAGAAAGTTATAGCCATATAACCAGGCCCAATGCACACATACATACATATGTACAGTACACAAACACGCATAAGGCACGATTCTGATGTAAATGTAAATGTATCTATGCATGCATGGAATATTTAGTTAATTAATTAAATTAATTTAGTTAATTAATTAAATTAAATTAATTAATTAAATTAAATTAATTAATTAAATTAATTAAATTACTTTTTTGTGGGGTGGTACAGGGTATTTAAGAGTTGAGCCTGCTCGACTTTAGCATTCCTTTCTTGTTTTGGTTGGGCTTGGCGATGATCTTAGTCATCAAATCCTGTGAGGCAAGTCCTGCACACCAGCAGCTGATAAACTGCAGTTGGCCACAATAAGAAGCATCTTTAAATGTGCAAAACTTTGGCAGCACGGCATTGTTGACCCACAAATTTTCAGGGTTAAGTTAGAGAAAAAACAAGTTGAGGTGCGCGAGGAGCGAGAAGAGCAAAGCACAAACAGTAATATGGCACAAGAATGTAAAAGCTGTACGCACTTGAGCTGTACTGCACTTAGCAAAAGCTCTAACAAATATTTGCGAGAGCGAAAGCAACATGAAAAACATGTACATGTATTTGTATTTGTATTTGTATTTGTGCGATGCGAAACAAGAGTGGAATACGAGTACTAGAGAGGTGCGGGCCCGACTCTAAAAACCCTATCTGTGTCCACTTTAAAAAGGCAGAAAACAAGTGGGAAAGCTGAAGTCGGATGTCCCGACTTTGAAATACTCTGCATGCCAATGCGTGCCTGTGTGTCAGCATGTCACCAGCAACAACAACAACAACAACAACAACACCAACTGCGTGCAGGGCTTGGGCAAAGATTACATTTATGGCTGTAACTTCATTTCAACCTATCATGATACAACTTAAGGGGAAGGAGGAAAATTTTGAATTGGTTCCAGAAAAAGTCGTGTAAAAGAAATAGAGAAGTTTATGAAATTTTACTTTTCAAACCGTGTTAAATCAAAACAATGTAAAAAACGACCGCGTTAAAACAGAATTAAGTGTACACTTGTTCTGTATATGTGTATGTACGAGTATATAGTATAAGGCATCTTGAACCAACATTTTGTGTCTCTAGCTCCTATAGTCGCCGAGATATAGGTGATTATACAAACGGTGTTACATAACATCACAAATCGCAGGGGAGTGGGGATGCATCAAAAAAATAAAATAAGCTCGTAGTGCGTACATAAGTACATAAGGCATCTGTGTACAACATTTTGTGTCTCTAGGTCTTCAAGTTTTCGAGATCTAGGACAGAGAGACCGACAGCGCAAATAAACAAGCTGATTGGAAAAGCCATAAATATTAAACAATTAGGGTATAAAATGTTGTAAAGCCTCTGAAAATGTTACAAAAAACGCGTTCAACCCGTTCACAAGGAAACTCTCTTTTGAGCTTTTACCTCCAACTTCCGAAGTTTCTGAACTTTTCTAGGGCAATATTCACTCTTTCCCTAAAGTATGCCTTTCTCCATTCCTAATAAATGCTTTGACTTCAGTGTTAAACTACTTGTATTGCTTTTCATTTTAAAACAATGGCTCGTTTACCACGTGGTAGCACAAAGCGATTGAGTTAGTAAATATGTTCATATGTCTCGCTAATTTAATTTATAAAAAGATCAATCCATTGTGTTTAATTTAATAAATATTTCTTCTTAATATTCGTTTCTGGGTATAATTTAAAATGTTGTTGGTCTTCTACTGTAAAACCTTGATTTGTGCTCACTTCAATGACATTTCGCTGGTTATCTCTTTTAAATTTGAAGCACGCCTTGAGACAAAGTCAAGACGCTTGGTTCGAATTTAAGGCTGCCATTTTTCTTGCAGTGTACACATTATATTCTTATACGATAGTAAGCAG